ATTTACGTGCAAATATGGGGTAATTTTATAAGACCTCAAGTTAGAATCCTCCGCTTGCATCCGTATGGCTTCCACGCAGCCAGAAGTTGAAACCGCAAACTTCTGGCCTCAACGCTAACGTGTTTAATATAGAAGCCTAAATTATTACATACATAGATAATTACCAATATCATAGTCCTATCTTCCTTCTGTGGATACATTATAATATAATGTACCTCAAACAGACCGCAAAGGGATGTGGGTAGTTATTCAGGCCACTGCAGTAGCTGCACAGGCCTTGCCCAAGGTGGGTATAAGAGTGAAAACCGTAGACTCTGGACTCTGGACACGGTTTAGGGTTTAGGGTTTAGGGTGGACCCCAAAAGTTGCAACCTACATCCCCAAAACCCTAAACCCAGCCAACCAGAATCCAACCTCCAATGAGGCATTGAAAGGAGACCACAAGAGAACCCCAGGTGAGCCATAGTCTAAACTCCTTAAAAGGGTTAAAAGGGGAATATAGAAGGCAGTATTACGGGGGCTATTAAGGGGGATGCTAGGAGTTGAGATTATGCCTCAGGTAACATAGAACCGTTCCACTATAAGCCGTTCATTCCAAGCAGGTTCCTTGACATGTAGCCGTAGGCGCCCTTAAAGATAAACGGAACCCACAAACCCGAATCTTCCCCAAGGTAAACATGAAGCCCCGTAATTTGAGCCTCTTTTAGATAGGAGTCTGCCCATCTGAGTTTCCATGCTTCCTCCACCCTGCTTCCCAAGCTTCGTGGGAATGTTTGGGTAATTAGGGGACACGCCCCAAGTCAGAACTAGGTAAGATCCCAAAGCTGCTCGAATTGTATGACGCTAGATAATCTGCACCCTAACCCCCTAAATCCTAAGGCCCTCAACCCTAACCCCTGAGCCGTAACTTGAAAGACCTAGGGAGATCTGAAGACTCACCGCTGAAGCCCTAGACCCCAGAACGTACCTCTAAACGCTCCTAAGCCCCTGCCCCTAAGATCCTACTTGTGGCTCTATTTACCTACAGTTTAGTAGTGTTGACACCGTAACTTCCAAGTAAAACCCCCTAAGTTGTAGATACATGCAGCCGCAGGCACTTGATGCATTCTCCATTGTCGGGGTAATCACCCTGCATACTCCCTCCCAACACATTCCCATCATATAATCATCCCCATACAACCCCTATAGAACCCCAAGGCCCTAAACCCAAATCCCTAAGGCTGTAAAACCCTCCTTGCAGGCATTGAAGATGAGGCTGGACCTGGCGCCAGGTCTGGAATTCTCAAAAAGGAAGGGTGGTCTTAGGAACCCAGGGTTTAGGGTTTAGGGTTTAGGGCTTAGGGTATGGGGTTCCAAGGGAACTTTGTGGCTCCTTACTGTAGGGGTACATGGGGATTACTTTGCTAGGGATTATGTGGGTCCTTATGTAGGATTCTATAGTCTAAACTCCTTAAAGGGGATTATATAGGGGAGCTTTGTAGGGGTTATTAAGTGGGATACTAGGTGTTTTTACTATAGCTTGTTTAGGATACTATAGGGGCCCTAAACTCCTGAACCCTAAACCCTAAACTCGGTCATGTTGAGAAATCCTCAGGTCAAGATGGAGCCTTCCAAGATGCCACGGCATCTCCTCATCGTCTTAAGAGTTTAAGGTTTACAATTTACGGTTTAGATTTTAGGATTTAGGGTTTAGATTTTAGGGTTTAGGGATTTAGGTGTTAGGGTTTAGATGTATATGGGGAGATATAGGGAGGTATAAGGTTTTTTTAGGAATTGCAAATGGGGTGGTTTAGGTTTAGGTTTTGGTGCCTTAGGCCCTGAACCCTAAACAAGTAAAACCACCCTAATCTAGGGGTGTTTTCGCAGACGACATCCTGAAGCACCATTTTTTGAGGGCTTATGTGGTCTAGGCCAGGTGGACTGCCCACCCTGTAATAGTGACTATAATAAGGGATCATAAGGATCATATTAAGGTCCTATTAAACTTATATTCCGATTATACCACCCTCAAACCCCTAAACCCTATAATTCCCTAACCTCAGCTATTCCTATTATACCACTAGTACAGGGTGGGGGGGTTCTCCCAAGGTCTAGGCTAGTCTCTAGGGACTTTAGGAGCGACCCCTAATAAGGACCCTTAATCCCATTACCATATATAACCTTGATATAATCATTATATAACACCTATATCCCTAGGATGTCCCCATATTTAAGCCCCATAAGGTCCCTCCAAAAGTCCTTAGATAGTAATCCCTGGTGGTAAAGGCATCTTTTCAGCTCTCCAAGCTGCTGATGAGGAGACTAGGCTGTGACTTTATGGGGTTTAGGGCTTTGGGTTTAGGGTTTAGGATTTAGGGTTTAGAGTTTAATTGGAGTGTTCGGAAATTAGGGGCCCCATTTTGGGAGTCCCCACAAGAACCTAGGTTGTGGTGTTATATTAGGGTCTACATGGGGACCTGTTGTGGATTGGCACCAGTCAATCTAAAAAAGACAGTTCTGGACATGTTGGGGCTTTGTGCAGGGCTTGTTGGGCACTTTTACTGTGTTGGGGCTGATCCCAGGAAAGTATGGACGTGCTTGGAGAAGCTAAGAGGGATGCTGATTATCCCTGTTGATCCTTAGCTGCACCAGGGTGCACGCTTCGAGTTGGTAATAGCGGTGTCTGTAGACTCACTGGTCTTGGGATTTGGTGAAGCGCAAGGTCCTGGCGTCCAGGGCTGCGAGTCAAATCGTGCAGCTACATTGAAACTCTCACGAGCAACAAGAAAATGACAATAAAAGCAGTAATATTAGTGGTCCTAGGGCCTCGCTTGAGATGTCATGTGTTTTTGAAGCATACTTTTGGTTTTATGGTGGCTCTTACAGTCAGGATCTGAAGATTTGTGGGATCTGGAAGGCGACACAGAGTGCCAGCGCAGTCATTGCAAGTACGGGATCGAGTAAGCCATGAACTGGGAACTGCACAGGCCTCTGATGGAGCAACCCGGAAAAGCACCCTGCGAAGTATTTTAAAATCTTACAGTCCCCCTTAAGTAGATAGAATATGGGGTACATGGGGATTTTGTTATAATATACCCAAAGCCATATTCTATCTACTTAAGGGGGACTATACCCGTACAGATAGACGGAGTAAGCCTCCCCCTCAATCTGATAGCCCCCTTTTCCAGGTTTTCCCAAGCAGCTTCAACGTCTCAGAGGGGTTCTATAAAGTGAGGGATGTGTGTATATATATATATACATTTCCCCAAGAATGGAGAATCAAATGGAAGGGAAATGGAAAACAACAATGACATTGGGCTTAAGATCCAAGAGCAGCCATGGGTCAGATCATTGACGCTTTTCCAGGGATGTTGATACGTTGTCCAGTGTGGGCAGTCAATTTTACGAGATTGCATGTCCTGGCTTGCTGAAGCAGTAAGGATACTGCAGATCTCCTTGCTTGTCTTCCTCCAACCGCATCTTCACCATTCTTGGCAATATTTTGTGTTTGTGTTCCTTTGGTTCCTGGCTGTTAAGGAACCCCATGCACTTACTAGTTAAATGCTTTCCGAGGGAAGTAAAGTCGTTTCTATACATTCGGAACCCCAAGTTAGACCCTGCAACATTACAATCCTTGTTATAGGGACCCCTAAAAGGCGACCCCTAGTTGTTGGAGGCCGTAACCTCTACAAATCCCTATAAGATCCGAGTACACCCTAGGTCGCCCTACATGTATATATATATATACGTATATAACCTCAGGGACGCGCAAGTTTTGCACCCCTTTACAGGGGTAGGCTTGAAACTTTAAAAAAAAACACAAAAACATTCTGCTACCTTTAATTCCAATATATTCCCTATAAAGCCATAAACCCTAATCTTAAACCCTAACAAAGATTCAATGTTTGTAGGGCCGCCAAACCTGGTGACCTACCCTAGTGTAGAGGAATGGAATCGTTTACCTGTCATATGCCGCTGGGCCGCAAGCTGCGACCTTTCCCAACTGTTTGAGCTATGGTCTAAACTCCATAAAGGGGTTATACAAGTACATAGGGAAGCGTCACAGGGTTTATTAAGGGGCATACCCGGAGTTAAGACTTTAGCTCGTTTTGGGTTTAGGGTACTATAGGGTTTAGGGATTAGGGTTGAGGGGCTGGGGCCTGGGTGGGAATTACAGCAGGGCTTAGGGTTTTAGGGATAGCATTGCCCCAACCTAGATGAAAACTGGGTTGTATTGTGGTTGCAGGTTGGCAAACATGGGGCTTTAGATACTGTAGTTGCGCAGACCTCTAAAATGAGGAACGTATGATGGTCACATGGTGGTTTTAGGGTCCTTATCATGCTGTTACAGGAGTTGGAGTAGCTAAAATGCTAAAATAAGGAACGAATTACGGTCACACGGTGGTTTTAGGGTCCTTGTCATATTACAGGAGTTGGGGTAGTTAAATTCCCCCGTTAAGTTGGGTGTTTTGAGTTCAGGGTTTAGGGATGATATTATCCCCCAAAACTGGGGACCAAATGGCCAAGACAGTGGAAAATGAAATCGAAACTGGGATGAGTGGTTGTGGCCCCGTATTCAGGAAAGCACACATTCAGAATGATAAGGGCTAAGCAGGGTATCTGCAGGTTTTCAATTGGCGCATTTCTTGCCAGCAACGCGCAGAGGCCAAGATATTTGGGCCTACATGTCAAGCATGTACCTTCCCCAAACTCACAAGGCTGAGCAGCAGCCTTACAAAGGTTATTTTCCCTCCAAGACATGGAAAGGGTGGGATGATATTTCGCCGGATCCCTGCAAGACACTAGCAGATGTGGAGGACTCACTCCGTGACATACCCGCCTTAGCACTTCCTGAAACTTTGGTCTTAAAGGCTCATGTGACCAGGGGAGATTGCAAAACACCTTAGTTGCTTCAATGGGTCATCAGGTAGGGAGGGCGCCGGTTCCCTTGCTCAGAAGGTTGTCGCCCTATAAACCTCCCCTACAACACCTGAAAAATCACCCCTTCATGGAAGGCTGTCATGTTTGTGGCGGTCCTGGTCCCCGTGGCTTTCGTGTGGGGTGCCGACATGACGGACCTATCAGTGGTGTACCTGCAATATACTCTTGGAGGCAAGGCCGTTCTTTTGGGCTTGGGGTGGCTGGTCAGGGTTGCTGCTTGAAGTTTTTGATGGTGTATACTTGAACCCAGTGTAGAAAAGAATAGAGATCATCTCAGATAGCTCTCGACAGTTTGGAGCAGGACCCCGGCTTTATGGTTTAGGATTTTCGGGTTGCATCTTGTTGTGTTTGGGATTCTGAAGGGTTCAGGCGTGTTTGGAAGTGTTGGACCAGGATCTGTGCGATGTTTTTGGAGGCAGACATGTCGTAGAACTCAGGGTTACATACGAATAAGGGAATGTATTGATTGTGGTATTATACAGGGTTTTATAGGGATAACTGAAAAGACAAGGGAAACTACTATGTAGGGTTACCTTTTGAACTCGCTTGTCTGCACGGAAATCCCAAAGTTGCACGGTGCACTGGGGTGCCCCCATATAACTCCTGGAGCGCCTCCCGAAGTGAGTGCGAAAACCCTAAAATACAACAGTAGGCAAGGAGTGCAAAAGAATTCCCCGGGACCCAGGTTGGAATTGTACCTGGAGGGTCCAAACGCCAAGCAGGTGTTGATTAAGATTAGGGTTCCCCTCTATACCCCAAGAAGAATACAATCCGTGCTACAGGACACCCAAGAGGTGGCGTATAATTTTGCAGAGAATAATAATGCAATTAAGAGATTTGGGGGTATCCTGTTCTCAGGGGCCGCAGGAAAAGGTTGTCAAAAAAGGAACCGCAGTCTTGTCAGCCCGCCCCTTGTGCGGGTCATGTGTTTGAGAGTCGAGGCAGTTGCCATGTTCTGACAATTGGAACGATCTGAACATGTGTGCAAGTGCCATGAGAGTCAGCTGCCAGGAATCGCTATTGGTCTTTTTGAGGGCACGTTCCTCAGTGTCATCAGTGTCCTTGGCATCTCGGCTCTACGTGAGCAATGGCAGAACCCAATTTCACACTCTACCAACATCTGACGGTCATGTAGAGTTACGCAGCCTGCACGTGTTGTGCTATGCCCCGAACCACAGAAACACCTACGAGAGTGCTCTTCACACTACGCACACTACGATCTCTGCAGAGGCCTCGTATGGCTCGGTGTCGATAAACTCTCGTGGTGTTTGCGGCCTGTGAGTTCTTACTTGCTTAGCCCCTACGACCCGTTCGATGGGAGAATTACCATGCCCCCTGAAGGAACCCGTGCATTTTTGAAGGCTCAAATTAACCGTCTCCAATAAGCAGTGGCTTCTTAAGGGTGAATGGTGAAGTATTGTCCAAATGTTCGCAGCGTATCCAAAAGCCAATTGCTCCAAGAGCTGCCAGCGGAAACTCTCAATCCCAACATCAGCAACCTTTGAATCTAACGTCCTAACCGTGGACCCCGAATTACTTTCACTTGTAGGCTTTTACATGGGTTGAACCCGAAATGCGAAGCCTTGCGTAAGAGAACTCCATAGCCGAGGCAAAAACACAAAGACTTTTGCCATCATGGGAGCGCCTCTAGGAGCTTTGGGCTTTTGCCGTCCAGGGCGTATGGGCTTGGAGTCTATTTGGTAGTCTCCAAAAAGAAATGGTCCCCCTATGTACCCCAAGAATACTCTAGTCCATATTCTAGGGACTCCTCATTTTTGGAAAGCCTCACTTCTGCGCATGGGTAGTTGGGATCTTGAAGATGTTGTAACTAACGCGATTGTGAAGTAATCCTGGCTAAGGCGGTAAAAGTCGACACGTATCCTCATCAAGAGGATTTTGGAAACTCCGGCCTCTAGAATTAGGATCGTACTATAGCCATATGATAATTGCAGGCTCCTGGCTTTGGGGGGTAACCAAAATCTCCTTATTACCTCAGTGTCTTCATGTTTCCACTTCCCTAAACCCGCAAACTCTAAAGCCTTAAAACCTTACAAAACCCTAAACCCTGAACACTATATAACCCCAGTATACTTTAGTAGTCTCCATTTTCTTTTCCATTATCCCAATATATAACCCATAACCCCTACAAAATCCCTATATAGTCCCTGTAATCCCTGTAGTTTCCATTTTCTTCTCCATTATCCCTACAACCCTAGTTCCGTTTGATTCTCTACTTGTCCGAAACGTGGACACGACTCAGAGCTGCAAATCAAGAGTTGCCCGCGTAATCGGCAATCGGGCGGTTTTGGGTTTTAGGGGGTTTGGGGATTTAGGGGGTTTAGGGATGTAGAGGCTTAAGGGTTTAGGGATCTAGGGTTTAGCGAGTTAGGGTTCAAACGGTTTAGGGCTTGGGGATTTAGGGTTTAGGGAGTCTAGGGTTCACACTTATACTAAACAGCTGTACCGCGCAGAACATGGATTTTTTCCCCAGGAGAAATCTTAAACCTTGGGGTGCATGTTTCATATGAGGGGTGTGGGTGGTTTAGGGTTTATAGGGTTTAGGGTAGGGGCCTTTAATAGTAGTATGACAGGACTTATAGCCCTCCCAAGCCCCGTAGGGATGAATATGACCCCCATTACCCTATGAGCTTAAAGGTCCATGAGAGTATATGGTATAGGCTTGGGGCCCGAAGAGGTTCCCATATAATCAGATACTTTAGAGCCCATGTATATATCATATACCTACATGGACCCCCAGGGCTATGTGATGTTGCTCTATATATATATATGTGTTATAGGTTGTATTTATGCTCGGGGAGGGGTCCTTTTACCAAGGGAAGGGGATTTTTTGGAAGTGTTGGTCTGCGATCCGCTCTAATTTCCCTGGAGGATTCGCGGTGCACAACATCATCCTCGGGACCTTTCAGCAGTGGGGCATGCGGGAAGCTCAGCTTCTCTCCTAGGGCTTAGGGTTTAGGCTAAACCACAGGTTGAGGGTCTCTCCCCCCCTCCCCCTCCCATGGCTGTATGGAGTTTACTCTAGCGCGCGCTGCCCGGCTGAGATGAGGTTCCTTACCACTTCAGGGTTGCAAGTAGCAAATCATCAATCGCAGGAGTTTCTCAATGTACCCCTGTAGAATGCTTACTAGGAAACCCCAGAATTCATCACCAATTGGCAACTGCGATAGATGCAGTTTTGAGACTGGTCATGATGCGGCGGTAAGCTGTCTTCTGCGCTTGCTTGTTCTGAAAAGGGATTGCGCGCAGGTGCCCTGAGGTTAGACTGTCCGGGTGGCACTACTTAGTTTCAAGCCACTGCTGTAAGCCGTCCTGTTGTCAGAGGTGAAGCAATGGGCTTTCTCCAATTGAAGCGAAGAATGTCTCTAGCCAACTCTCTCTCTCTCTCTCTCTTTCTTTCTCTTTCGTAATAAGTAATAATAGTAGTAATAACAACAACGGGCATTCCTGGATCTGATGTTCTTGCCGCGCTTTGCGCATACCGAAACATAACTACAACCCCTGCGAACTATAAAAAACCCTGAAGCTCCCAAGGCCTGCGGTTATATAGGGGCTATATTGGGATGAATAAAATGCAAATTACTATTTAGGTTTAGGGGTTTAGGGCTCGCTCCTAAGGCCTGTGGTGACCTACTACATCTACTCGGCCTTGTGTATTCCTTTTGCCGTGGTCCGGGTCTCAGTTTGTGCATCCCCCAGGTTTCAGATTCCACTTCGACGTCGCCCTCTGTAGCCTTAGTCCTTTTTGGAGGATGCTAGGTCCATCGGTAAATCCCCTAAACCCAAAGCCACCTAAACGCCACAAGGTGCGCTTTTGTCATTCCTCCATATCAAGCCAATAGGGTGGCTAAACCTAAAACCTAAATGGTAGTTTCCATTTTATTTTCCATTATCGCAATACAAACCCCTACATAACCCTATATAACCCTATATAATCCCATATAACCCCCATATTCTACATCCCATATAACCCCTATATAACCCCAATGGTACGTGATACGGTCAGACTTGCGGATTCACAGCCATTCAAAGGGTCCATGTAGCTCTATGAGCAGGTTTTTAAGGTTTAGGATTTGGGGTTTAGGGTTTAGGGTCTAAACGGGTCTGAACTCCTTAAAGGTGGATTATTGAGGGGAGTATTTTAGGGGTTGTGAAGGGGGATACTAGGAGTTTAGACTATAGGAAATATAGTATGTATCTACGGCCCAAAAGAGTTCCCACCTAATTACTTCAAAGCCAAGGTATATACTGTAAAGCTACAGGGATGCTCTGGGTCAATTGCCCAAAAGTTTTCAGCGCTGCGCGCAAGCAAAGTTGAGGCCAAATATAATGACATGACAGCTGATTGCAGACATTTTTCTCAACTATCAGGACATGACAGTTGATTGCAGATGTTATTCTGCCTTTGCTCCTACTGTTACTGGGGGCCCTGCAAACCAGAACGAAGACTGCGACCCTTGCCTACTGTAAAATGTAAAAGGCACATGCCTAAGTTCCTTCACAGCACTCCAGATCAAAAGAGCATCTTGGACCGTGCAACAGAGCCTCATAACCCACTTGGGGCTCCCAAGTCTAAATCCTTATGGTTAAGGGTTGAGGGTTTTGGGTTTTGGGTTTGTAGCCCGCAGCTACCTTGAGTGGGCAATATCTTCTACAAACGGCGGTGGGCATATGGTAGTCCGAACTCTAAACCCCCTAAGGCATCCTTCAGCTTTAAACCTAAGCCGCGGATTGTTCCTTGCGCTGCTTCAGCCATGCAATTGGCACAACCCTAAACCCAAATCTCTACCCTTCAGTCTGAGCCTTCCCGTAGTAACAGAACATCCCTTTGTCTTGATATCGTTGAGAAACCGATGTATTTCACTGCTCAGAAGAACCGATAACTGTCCGAAACCTAAGCCCCAAACCTTCAGCGAAAACCCCAAACAACCCTAAATGGGCCCTAACGTTACTTAGTGCCGAGAAGGGAATGAGCGAAGGGACGCATAAGTGACTCCTACATACGCCCCAATTATGAGTCCCTAGTAAGCCCTAAGCTCGAATCTAGCTCTTATATAATTCCTGCGTAGCCCCTTTTAAAGGGCCCCTAACTTGGAAATTCCAACAGAAACCTCAGCCATGAAATGCTACTCAGGTGATTTTCTACTTCAAGGCCCCGCCCGCCGAGGCAGACTCCGCGGGCAAAGGCCAGTTTTTGGAAAGCGGTTGCGTGGTTTTATGTACTTGGTAAGTCTCCTTTGTAATTTAGCGATCATGGGGCTTATAACAGACGGTTTCCGGGATAGCAAGTGGGTTTACTAAGTCAGAAGAGAATCCTAGTAGGGTTCAGGGTTCAGGGTCTGAATTTGTACAGCCTAAGGGCGTGTCGGCTACGACGTGCTAGTGGGCAATGTGCAGATGCGCGCAATTCCCACGGTCGCTTAATGTTTGCCAAGCTCACGTTTTGTGGGATGTGAGGGTGACGCAGCAGTCGGACGTTCCTCAAGAGGTATGGAATTGATCTCAATGCAGCCAGTGCTTTAAAGCTCCCCATTACGCTAGATGAAATAGTCTATCCCCATCATGAAGAACGTCGCGAAGCAAGTGCAAGTAATCATCAGGTGCAGTCATAGACATATCTTGTAGTCTCTGCTTGAACGTCTAGAAGGTTTTGGGCGCCACCTCGTTGCACAAGCCTCCCATGATGCGGAAGTGGTGAAGAGCTCGTTGTTAGCACGAGCATCTCCCGCATGAGAGCGTTCAAGAAGATCCGGTTCCTTCGAATATTTGTTATTCTTCACCAAAAGATCCGGAACCATGAGGCCTATCGAGGCCTGGCACTTCATGTTCTTTTGTCTGTAATATTAAGTGGAAGCCCTTCTACAAGTCTGCTTTCCACTTGCTTAGCTTCTTTGTGCACTCATGCACGGCTCAGCATCTGCAGGCTAGACTTCGCTAGCTTGCGGCTTCAGGATGCTTTAGGCTTCAGGGTTTAGGGCTTAAGGTCGGAGATTCGTGGGTAGGCAGGATGTGTTTTTACTCTGACAAGGATCAATCAATTCGGGGATTGAGAAACCCACAGAACTAATTACCAATCACCCAACCCGCCATGAAATGCACCCTTGCTTTGTACCGCTAGCCCTCTTCGGGGTATCCTTGCTTTCCAGCACAATGCGAAGGAATTGCCCACAACATCTCGTGCATATCTTGTCCTGCGGACCTCCCAAAGATCATCACCCCTACATAATATATGTTTGTTTCCCTAAACAGGGGGACCCCAATATAGACCCTAATATATTATAGTCCTCCTTATAAGGGCCCCCAAGAAAGTACCCCTAATTTTAGGAAACCCCAATATTTCTGTGGGTCCCCAGGCCCCGCATCTTGATTTTGATAAACTTACGAGTCATCCTGAAGGCTGCCAATTCTTCTTGCGCTCCCTGCAGCAGCCGATGGAGTGGTTACCTGAAGCTTCGCCGCAACTTTGGGGCTTTTGTTGGGGAGATTCCGTGCGAAAGGACAAAGTTGTAGGGGTTATTGTTTGAGTGCTCAGGGAAGTGTAGGGTTAGGGGTGCAGTTTGTTTTTTGGAGCTTAGCGGGCACGCCTGTATCAACGTCTTGAGAAGAGCTGAGCACTGTAGGTTTTCAACGTTCAAGGTCATATATGCTCCCTTGTTCCGACTGAAGCTTGTATAGTAAGTATTCATACTTTCTAGGACAGGACAGATGCCAGCAGGGAATGTGACAAACACATCTGGCGAGGGAGGCGCAGCACCCAATCTCGCTCGGCCTGGCAAACAGCGAGCTAGTCACTTGAGTGGTATAAGATGGGGATACTATGATTCCCAATATAGTGTAAGAGTATATCCTCCTTTCGGGTACAGCAAGCAGAAGGTGCCATCACTTGGTTCGACCACCCAAAAAAAACCGCTATACTTGCTTGCCCTCGAAGAAGAAGAGCCGGTGCTCTATATGGGGCCTCCACAAATTCACGCATGCCCCCATGGGGGTCCTCCTGATACAGGTCTCCCTTTTCATTGAGCCCACCAGTCGCTCGGGGGTACCAGAATTTGGAAGGGCCTTGATGCGAGTCAGGGTTCCAATCAGAGTCCTGCGCATGAGGTTGGCCCGCAAGGGCCTGTTACAACATGGGTACTTCCCAAAATTAGGGTTCCATTTTGGTGGCCCTAAATACTAGGTGCCGTCATATACTCTATAACCAACAGGGGCCCATAATTTGGAGAACCATGCTTCCAGTTTGGCACTGATGTTCCTGAAGGTGTCTCCACACAGTTCTCGGCAGATCAACAAGGTCCAGAATCTTTCATCTCGTGGGGTAGGGGTAAATACTTTCTCCCTGAGCCCTCATCCTGGAACCCTAAACCCTTAAATCCAACAACCCTAGGCGATGGTGCCCTGGTTCATTGCGAAGTTTTTGGGGAACTTTGTCATGGAGGACAACTCGCTGAGTCATTGTTGGACAAGTCTACCCATAGCCAGGGTTTATGGTCTAGGGTTCAGGGGTTTAGGGTTTAAGGGCCCCTTTGCAAGCCTTTTTGCTGCTTCCATGCCTGTTTTGGGAAAGCTTTTTGTTAGTCCAAATCTAAGCAGAACGTAGAACCCTGCTCTATAACAAAAAGCATGAAGTGTTCGAACCTAAGCCTTATACAGCCCAAAGCTTAGCCGATAAGTTAAAATTGTCCAACTTCGATCCATGGCATTTGAAAGCCCGAAGCCTAGGCCCGCGGCCCTGAGCCATCAGGATTGTTCGGCAACACTATTCTGAAAGCAAGGACAGTATGACAGGCAGGTGCAATAGTATCGTGAAGGTCCTCATTCTTATGGTTGGGGCTGGCAAGCAAGTAAACCAGACCAGTCTTTACTGCACAGATGGTTGGACATCACAGAGATCACCGGAACAACAACCACACATCCCACCCAATTGCCTCATTCATGGCCCCTGCTCAACGGGCCTGTATGGCTCTCTCGGTTAGTCTGCAAGGTGCGGCCATGAACTATCAAAGGAGCCCTAAACCGAAAGCCAAAAGCAGCCGAAAAGGACGCGTTTCCGTTGCTCTTTAACACCTTCAATACTGCACGGGTGCCCCTCTTGGGCCCCGACAGCACAAGCCCGACAATACCTTTCCAGCATCTTTGCACAGTTTGAGTTGCAGGGTAACTATAACCCAAGTAGTACTGTATTTATCGGATTAGAAGACTTCCAGAGCCCTGAAAAGACAACAATAAAGAGCCCCATGATTCTGAAACAGAACCTGGAATGGCCAGAGGAGGGATGCTTCTTTTCGGATCAGAGTTGTGAATCAAGGAACATAGAGTTTCTGCAAGCTTGAAGACATGGAGGAGGGGTTATTGAACTTGCTTCAATGTAAACACGTCATTGCAAAATGGGTATCCTCAGAGGCAGCCAAGGACCTATTGGGACTAGAGGAGGATTTGCAGGGTCGCTGTTGCAGATTACGTAAGGAGTATTTGAGAAATTCAAATATGGGGGTCAGTGATCTGGCGTTCAAGGGTTTCAGGCTTCCAGATGAGTAGTATGTTTCATGGGGTACGATGATCTGAACCATAGAGTAAGAATATATCCTCCTTTGGGTTACAGTTTCTTTTGAAAGTGTATAAACCAACTTAGTGCAACCACAAAAAGTATCATGGGTTACCTCAACACCGCACTGATACTACTATCTGAAGTTTCTCCTTAACTAGGGTCATTCAGGGGTAATCAAAATTAATTCATGGGGAACCTTAGAAGGGACCCATGTGAAAATTAACACGATTCAGATAATTCGAAACTCGAAGCCTGCGCAGAAAAAGCACAGCCAACGCTTTTTGCCGACGTGTCTACCTTGACCCGAAGGTATGTAGCGTAATGCGCTTTTGGACCATTTGGGGAGGGGTTGTTCGGACCAGTAGTTTTCATACTTCCGGGGTCCAGGTATGCCCGCAGCCGTCAGGAATTGTCGGCGGCACCACAGTCTTACTTCTATTTGAGAAATTCTGCACATAGGTCCAAAATCAGCCGGAAGTCTACAAAGGTTCGTGCAAGCCTCCTACCCGCAACTCCAGACGCCCGACACCCCTCAAAATCTGAATCCAACTAACCCCCGACCCACTGCCCGCAGAATCTCAACGCCCAAAGCATGACCCAGCTCAACATCTTATCTCACAGTCCGACACAGCTCCAAGAAGAGAGAAAGTAAGGTACTACACTGCCTGGTACTGGTTCGTCCTGGTCGCTTTGGGCGACACAGTGAGTCGACGGGTACCGATGTATCTCACGCTGAATAGCCCCTTGGCCAGGACGTCAAATTGACTTTAGCTGTCACTCTCTTCAGGAGTGGGATTACATAACTATACAGGGTTCGGAGGTCGAAACGGTACCTTGACGTGGGGCATGTTTATACCTGAATCGCCACCGAATCCCAAAGTATCGCCTCAGCCTGGGTTGGCGCCCAGTTGGCTTGCAATCATGGGAAGTTCTGAGGCTCAAGGATCTAAACCCTAAACCCTAATTCTTAGTGAGGTTGTAGAGCCCCTCTCCTGCATTGTCTTCCACCCACTATATACAACCCTTATACCGTCCTTAACGAGAACCACCCCGAGCTAGACGGCAGCCCCGCTCTGAAGCAACAGTTCTCAAGATTTCTGAAGCGAGGAAGCTAGCACCGGCTGTGGTTTCCGGCAAGGGCTTAGGGCTTCAGATTGATAAGCTTGTTCGAGGGCTTCTGTGCCATAGTCAGAATCAGCAGGGTACACATCAATCATGTGCCGCATGTTGGCCCCATAGGGTCCAAGAGACCAAGCGTTAGGGTTTCAGGTGCCAAGAACCTTTCAGATTCTTGTATTGCTTACCTACGGACAGAGGTGCACTTCAGCCCGCCAGCATTCTGAGAAGTTTCTGACTTCTGTGGGGGCATGTGCTTAAGAAAACATGACCGATGTGCTCGCCGTTTCTCTCGCGGCGCTTTTTGTGAAGCCTTGCTTGCTAACTCCTGTATAACCCAAAGGGTCCATGTAGCCATATGGTATGTACTTGGGCCTTAAAGTAGGTATATGGAAACCTCTTTGGGCCTAAGTATATACCATATACCTGCATAAGCACAAAAATTAGGGGAATTAATCAACCAAAGCAGCAGCAGAAACCTGAAAAGCAAAACGTTCCGCAGAGCTTGCCCAGGATGCTACCCCTCTTGAGCAATAATCTAAACTCCTTAAAGTGGGTTGTATAGGGGATTATATATGGGACTACTACAAGGGGTGTTAAGGGGGATGCTAGGAGGTTAGACCATAGCTCACTTGTTCACTCGTGTTTCATTGAATTACGTTAGTGGAGAAGTAGGAAGAAAGAAGAGTGGAAAATCTAATGCAACTCCCCCCTGTCAAAAGGTACGGCCAAAACTTCCTACATCCCTTCAAAGAATACATGAGACATATGAGCCATTGTCTAAACTCCTAGTATCCCCCTTAATGACCCCTATAATAGTCCCGTATATAATCCCCTATAACCCCCTTTAAGGAGTTTGGACTATAGCTCATATCCCCATCCAACCCTCTGCCTGAAAGCTTCGGCAAAACCGCTCAATCGATTCCACACTGAGCCTTGTGAACCCAAGGACCCTGCTGGTACTGTAGAAGGCTGACGAATCAGCAACATCAGCAGTATAATCCTTACATAACCATAATATAACATGATTTGCCCAACCGAGAAGCCGTATAGACACACTGGTTGCATTAGATGTTCCACTTGTCTTTCCATCTGGTTCTCCACTACTGTAAGGAAATGGCCGCCAAACAACCATGCATATTCCGTATAGTCAATGATCCCTTCATACGAATATTAAGCCCCCACCCTTGCCTCTCACATAAGACATTCCCCAGGAGAGACCTCATGTAGTGAAGGGATTAATTAAGCTTCAGTCCTGAAACTTAAGCCCGAAGCGTGTAAACCCTAAACCCTAAACCCCTGAACCCTAAACCTTAGATCCCTCAATTCCTAAACATGAAAAATCATGAAGGCTGGCACAGCTGGGCCTTGTGGATCGTGGTGTCCATCGCTCTGTGTATTGGAGGAGCCTGCTTTAAAACGTTTGGGTTGCAGAATTTGGGCGGGTAGGGTTTAGGGTTTTGGGGGCCGAGGTTCGCAACCCCCCTAAGAATAGGTATGGATTCGATGAACACCAGATGAATACAGGATGAGGGAGCACTGGCTTGCTGGTTGCTGTTCAGAGGTTTCTCATCAACGTCTATAGAATTATGTCCTGCTAAGATGATCAAGGATGCCAAGTGCAGTTTTCCGTTTTCTTGCCGCGCAACCAGAATCATGAAGTGTACAACAGAAGCCCGAACCCTAAACAGCCCCAGAGCCCGTCAAACAAACGCAAGAACAAACGGGCATGGACGTCGAGACTGAACTGTCGGCCGACCGTTGCCATGCAAAACCTTGAACTTCGATTGCCTGCTACATTGCAAGGAGAAGCTCTCAACTTTCTGCTGGTTTCAATTGTCACTGGACTTGCCGCGTTCATCGCTTACTTCGGCAACGGAGCCTTGCCTGCATGCGAGGCGAATTCTGGTGTCAAGCTTGTGTTTTTAGGCGTGGCCTCTTCGGCCAGCCTACTTTCCCCAACCTCGCAGTCCTTCTTATCAGTCTCCATTATGACGGGTGATTCACTCATATGTGCACTGGCAGAATCAGGCGTACTCTGAGCCCCGACTCCCCGCAGGAGTCTTTGGGCACCTGGCAGGGCCGCGTAAGCAGAAGCCAGCAACCATATTATGGAGGCTGTATTGTTGATGGACATCATTTGTCCAAGCCGACAGGTTCAAGTCAAGCCCTCCAAGCACGGGAATCAGGGTTTCTGAGTAGCGTTCTGTTATGCTCTTCTTTCTTATTACTATAGATGCTATCTGGCTCGTCCTTAACGAACCTTCAATGCCATGAATTTGAACGCTTGTTTCTTGCGTATACGCTACCAGCACAGAGCAGCATCATGTCTTGGTAGGGGAAGGGTGTGTGTGCTCGGTGGGTGCCTATCACTGATAGGAATGACTGCCGCAGGTACCCAAGCTAATAGATGGTGACAGTGCGCTGTCACTAAAGATTCCCCCATTCTCAAGATCGATAACCCAGGATACAATGCAGCCCCTGATCCCGCAGGCCCTTGCATGAGATTCACAAACGGCGTGGGGGAAAGTACTGTTGGGTGCTTCCAAAGCTGGTACCCTAGAAAGCGAGAAGAGTCGCCTTCAAAAGTCCACTGGATACCCTCAAAAAGGGTCTCTCTTGTAAGAACCACTATAGAGTGTTCCCTACTGCAGCTGCCCCATAAGCAACGGACAAAATGCTTCTGAATTGCCCTCCCCATCTTTTTTAATGCGTGTACCCTCTAGGCCCTAGGCCTCGTGATTTATTTTTCAAAATGGCCTTTTCAGGGGCTGTATGAGCCAGAACTCAGGCTTGATCTATGGCTTGTCTGCCAAGTACATTGATGCGCACATCCCGGCGCAGCACAGGTATGCTGCGTACAACCTGCCGCTCGTCTTACAGACGTTCTTATCAATTTCCCAGTGATTTTTTGTCTGGCAATGTGTTCATGAATCGGAGAGCTTGGGTAACCCCCAACCCCCCAAAGACTTGAAATCTCTGATAGCCTTGCGATAGTAAGCTGCGTCCTACTCTTGATAGTTGGGGTTGCGCAGATCCTCTCATGACTCTTCCTTAGGTGGTGCTTCTGTGGTGACCTTGGGGGCTACGCTGGACAAAGTTGCTCAGCACAATGGGTTTAGGGGGCTTTCTGCGTTTCGGGAGGCTGCCTTTGATTTGACTTGGTATTGAATGCAGGAATACTCAGAGGGCAACTTGGGATGAAGGTTGGTTCCCCTTGTTTGTCCACGCAAAAACGTACTCACAGATATTTTGGGGCTTTTAACGTTCGTGATTCGCGGCGCTTTGGATGGTAGTCTTCAATGTCTGGCATGACGCATGACGCGCCTTCACCTTAAAGCTTCAGTGAGGCCACTGGCTGAAATCGCAATGCCCCCAGGGTTTAGGCTTCAACCCAAACCCAAGTTGTTATGTGCGGCCATGCACCTACCTGTCCAATGACAAATTGGGTGAATGTTTCAGGCAACATAAAGCCGAATAGTATGAACGAAAGGGTCCGTTAACCGTGGAAAAGCCGTAGATACTGGAAACCAGGGAACGTCCAAAGCCTGAACACTTGGCAATATTACGGGTCTAGATTGATTGTGTGATGAAGATTTAGGACACCTCAAGTAGACCTCAACTTGACAGTGGTAATCATTCCAACAGGATCTTAGCTCACTATCATTCTAATTCTTATTGATAAAGGATCCAGGTGATAAACTGGAAGAAGCCTACAGCCTACACATTAATGGTAGTTCGTTAGGATACTCTGCAGTCCCCAATTTGGATTGTGATTATATCCTCCTCTGGGATATAGTATCCCATGAGAGGAAAAGAACCTTGCTAGGCGCTACTCAAAAGGCATCATGAGTGAGATGGGTAGTTCGGGTCCAAATCTGCGTCAGAAGGCAGCCTCTCCGTTCACATTGCGCAGCAAGTCTGCGAAGGCAGGCACTACACGCATCTTGGCTAAGCGCTCATGTTGTGGGTTCTAGTCTGTAAATCCCTGTTGCTCCAGGAGCGGCTTGCGTGCTGCAGTGAAAAGGTATGTTGCAGGCTACTGCAGGCCCCCGTTTTGTACTTGGGTTTGTGAGGCGATGTTGATGCTGTGCGAACATGTATCATGCAACCCCCAACACTAGTATCCTAAAAAGGCCTTTATTTGCCGGGGCCCATGTATTGGGGGAGGGGTCCCTGCGCATGATCGACCCAGGAATGTACGAGTGGCGTCTCTTTGGGGTCAGGAAAACTTACTTAGTGGCCCGGTAACCCTTACAATCCATACAGTAAGCCCAGCTACCCCCATTACCGACCTGCCCACTAAGTCCCAAAAGCCGAATATAGAGGGTCTGGAAACGTGCCCTTTTTGCCCATGATGCTGAGGCCCTTTGTTGTGGAGGTCCCTGCCCAATACAATTGGGGCTCTCCCAAAATACGGGGTCCCTTTATTTTAAGGTATTATTGCAGTATTTGGGGGGTTGGGTTCCGTATGTATGGAAACTGCCATCGTCCACTGTGTAAACGACCTTGAACATGGCCCATACTGTCAAACGACCCCAGTTCCTGCTCTTGTCCTATGCCCAAGTCATAGCTCAGCAAGATGGTGAATATGCGTGGTGGATATGAAATTTCCTTCGTGAGGTCACATGTTCGGGCGACATTAGCCGAGACCTCATACTATTTTATCCCCGTTGCTTCACATGCTTAATGGAGATACCCCATCACACTCCTGCATGGCCTTTTGTAGTGGAGTGCTAGGAAGCATAAATGATCGTGCAGGATTTGTCTGTGCACAGTACTGGTAGTCTCAGCATCTGCTTCATGTACAGTCCTCGTAGGAGGATACCTGTCTCCACATTCCCACTGAACTCCTAAACTTTGTGTTTGACTCCAAAAGGCCACGGCTTCATATAAAGCCTTTTTCCTGGGAAAGCAAGCCAGATTTCTAGAAGGGGCCAGAAAAGAGGCCCGAAAGTTTGAGACAGTTCCGAAGACTCAGGCTGTCCCGAAACCCTTTCAAGGTGACCACCTATTGCTAGCAACTTCCTAAACGCAATACGCGCCTATACAGTTCCAGTTGCCATGCCATGCTCCGTTGTCTATTCCACTTGTTTCTCCATTGTTCGAACCCTAAAACCCAATGCTGGAAATGTAGCCCAAGCCCTCGGCACGACTGCCTGAACCACAAGTTACAAAGCACCCTACAGTCTCCACCTGCAGCAACAACTTCATCCAGAGATAATGGAGAATCAACTGGACAAGAAACGAATCTTGAAAAAAATGAGAGGGGTCCCAGGTAGGGATGTGTCCTGGGTAGGTAAAATTTCTAATCATCAGGAGGTATCTCATGGTATCCCTCAGTGCTCATAGACAGCATTCGTTTCTTGGACTATGCCTATCCCACGGGCCATGGAGGGAGACCTGCTGTGGAAGCTCAAACAATCAACAACATGAGGTTGAGGGTTGAGGGTGTATGTTTCCATGTCTGTTGTATAATTAGCGTATAGGGTACCTCAATTAGACCTCCAAATGATATTGGTAGTTGTTCAGGCCCCTACATAGCACTAGTTCCACACACCCCTAGAACGCCCAGTTTCCATTTTATGTTCCATTGTTCTTTTTCGGGTGATTCTCCACTATTGGTACCTTAAATAACAAACCCTTATCGTAGCTTTCATTTCTCCCTTATCCCAGTATGCTGTATACCCTACAGAACACGCATATCCCCTATAGCCCTAACCCTTAAACCCTAAACCCAACCCTAAACCTTAACCCTAAATATTCAACCCTATAGAACCCCCCAAAAAGGGACCAAACCCAAGGTATGTCTGCCATCGGAAGACCCTTTTCTCCTGGGACACCGCGCGTGAATGGCAAGCGATACTTGGTATCTTTGGGAGCTTGTGCTCTTCCTACGGTTATAGTCCCTCTTAAGTAGATAGAATATGGTTTTGGGTATATTATAACCAGGACCCCCATATACCTCATATTCTATAAGCTTAAGGGGGACTATAGCCCGAAACCCTAAACTCAATGTATCGTGATCCTCAACTTCCTGAACTCGATGCTTTGTGTCATCCAGCAGGCTTAGTATCAAAAGTAGTGGTGGGCAAAGATCACAAGGTGTTTTGGCCACGGCTTGAGGACTAGTAGCAGGTTTGTCTGTGCCCAAGTCCAAAACTATTTAATATCTTCAAGCCTATTAGCTTGTCGTCTCTTGCAATTACCATCATCGTATTTAAGGCAGGAATGTGGGACATTTCCCCCATACAAGGCTCGCATAGCCTAACATATGCCTCATGTAAGGGGGCCCACCTTGTAACTCCCAACCTGCAAGCACCTCTTTATTTTTACAGAAATCCCGTCAACTAAGCCCTCCACAGTGGACTCTACACCCTAAACCCCAAACCGCACCATAAACCGGCCACAAAGGATTGATTGGCCTGCCTTGCTTTTCTGACGGCTTGGGGACATTGTGGGCAGCTTGAGTCTCCCAAGCAACGAAAAGATAAGTGGGGGCTTCCCAAAATTAGGGGTACTCTTTTGGGCGGTCCCTAGAATACGGACTATAGTATTTTGGGGTCTATATTGGGGTCCCCTTATTTTGTTTGCAATAGAAAATCACAAGCAGAGAACACACGCAATAGCGCGCATGGCGTTCATGGGCGTTGATAAGCACATACTTCAACCACTTCTACCCAGGCTTGTGCTGCCTCCATGAGGGGTCAAACAGGCATGTGGTTAAGAAGGGCACGTTAGGCTGCAACCCTCATGCAGCACAGCCTCTCATTATTTCTCCTGTGGCTTTTGAATAGGCGTGACATTCATTCCTTGTTGAGCTGATACGGTCAAAAGGTCTCCCTTAGGAACCCTGAGGTTCAAAGTATATATATATACATATAGATATTTATCTTAAGAGTGTATATATACATTATATACATACATACATATGTAGTCCGAAGCTATGCACTGAGCCCTAAACAATACATGTAAACCAAATACCGACAGCTTTGTAGAGTTTCCGCTTGATATTAGTCGGTAGGCATAATCCACAAAACTGTACCTAAGCCCCCCCCCCTCCCGCCGCCAACTCATCAAGTCTCATCAACCCTCAAACCGACGTTTGCCATTTCTTGGATGGCAGACCATCCGCTGGCCAATTTGGGCCACCTGCTTTTGGCACAGAAGGAGTAAAGGTTCCATCTGGGAGTTTTAAGTAATCCGGATCCTTTCGCAGGGAATGCTGAAAATGGCCATTTTGGTGTGTTGCGGATATATATATAAAAGGTACAGACAGGCATCATTACTCTCTGTGCGTGTTGCTGTTGCAAAGTTCAGGAGGAAGCCGAGTCGGAAACGCTATCGTTCTTTGTGCATTCTCAAGGTGTAGAGAAGGAATACGGCATTCAGATGTGCTCTTACAATAGCGGGTAGCTGGCAGGGAGGGAGTTTCACACCCCACGTTTGCTAGGGCTCTCACTGCATCAACCGTACTGTTGAAGTTGAAGATGCGCGGCTACCAACGAAACATCTATCGCGCTTTCCGAAAATTAGGAGTAGTTTGTGGAAAATGGATGACGGTCTATATTGGAGTCCCCTCATGTATGGAAACTATTAGGTGCCCTGAAGAATTTATCCCTAAGACCTAAATCCTAAACCCTCCCTTTGTAAAATGGAGTGCCGTCCAGCCTGCTAATGCGGCACTTCGGCTTCATCCTGATCTGCATCACTCCTTGGGGAGGACCCTTCCCCAGTCGCTTCGGTTTCTAAAAACAATTGGGTCCCCTCTTGGGGGTCCCCTATACCAAGGATTGACAAATATTGGGCTTGATATTGGTGGCCCCTGCTTAATGGAAAACCCAGTTAGACTTATTTTCAGACAATGTTGAGCTCGGCTTATCTCGGTGACTGGTGCAGGGTGGCGAGTGTGGGGAAAAAATCCGATGATGTAGTTCGCAGAGTTTCCTGTCAGCTCCTACTGCAAAAGCCGAGCCACGTGATTGCAGGGATCTGTGAAGTACGCATTTTCTTTTGTGGGCCCAAAAAAGTATGCAAATTGCCGGCCCAGAGCCCTAAACATGGTAAACAACTTTATACACAACCCTGAGCCCTGAACCCTGTCAACTTTGAGCGTCCATGA